CCTGATGAAGGTTAATATTCAGGAGGATGCCTATATGTTTTTCTTTGGGTTCTCCTTCTTATTTAGCTTCTCTAAGAACCCGAATTATAGGCTCAATGTCCTTTATTTATGGCTAGAAACCAAATATGAGTGAGTACATCCCATGTTCCTCTTTTTGGGTCTGGCTAACCTCACTCAGGATAGTGTTTTCTATTTCCATCCATTTGCCTGCAAACTTCAAGAAGTCCTTGTTTTTTACTGCTGATAATTTTTATTTCTTTAGTAGTCTTTAAAACCTTATAAAAACAAGTTTAGAACAAACTAACCAATTCAGCTAGACTGGCCAGTCAGCAAGGTTCAGAGATCCATTGGTCCCTGAGGGTAAAAGTACTTCCTACTAAGCCCTAAGTTTGATTCCCAGGACCTACAAGTTAGAAGGAGAGAACCAATTCCTGCAAGTTTGTACACACACGTAAGTACACACATACGTATGTGTACACACACACACACACACACACACACACACACACACACACACTGTACTGGCTAGTTTTATGTCAACTTGACACAAACTAGAGTCATCAGAAAGGAGGGGAGTCTCAGTTGAAAAAATGCCTCTCTCTAAGACTTGGCTGTCCCAAGCCTGTAGGGCTTTTTCTTAGTGATTGATGGGGGAGGTCTCAGCCCAGTGTGGATGGTGCCATCCTGGGCTGGTGGTCCTGAGTCCATAAGAAAGCAGGCTGAGCCAGACATGCAGCACTCTTCCATGGCCTCTGCATCAGCTCCCCCCTCTACGTTTCTGTCCTTTGAGTTCCTGTTCTCACTTCCTTTGACAATGATATAAAATTGTAAGCCAAATAAACCTTTCCTCCTCAGGTTGCTTTGATCATGGTGTTTTAACATATCAACAGTAACCCAAACTAAGGCAGATGTAATTTTAAAAATTAGCTGCTCGGTGTTGGTACACACCTTTAATCCCCAGCACTGGGGGGGGGGGGGGCAGCCTGGTCTACATAGCTAGTTCCAGAGCAGCCAGAACTACACACAGAAAATCCCTGTCTCGAAAAACAAAAACAAAAAAAAGGTTTTTTTTTTTTTTTTTTTTTTTTTTTTTTTTTTTTTTGCATTTTTCGAGACAGGGTTTCTCTGTAGCTTTTTGGTTCCTGTTTTTTTTTTTTTTTTTTTTTTAACACGAGAGACTCAGAATGGAAGGAAGTCTACTTACAGTAAAAGCAGATGTTGGTTAAAACCTAAAATCAAATCTTACTTTATTATTTTTCAACAGTGTTTCTCTGTGCAGCCCTGGCTGTCCTGAAACTCACTCTGCAGACCAGGTTGTCCTCGAACTCACAGAGATCTGCCTCCCGAGTGCTGGGATGAAAGGTCCGCACCACCACCACCCAGTTACTTTTAAGATAATATTCCATTTGGAAAAATGCCCAATTAACTTGTACTTTCTTTGTATGTGTATTGTATATATAGTATGCATACAATACTGTGGTTGTGTACACGTGCACACAGGTACACGTTCATGTTGTGAGCCTTAGATCAGAGGCCTTTTCTTCACCTGCTCTCTAAACTTATTTTTGGAGACAGTGTCTCTCAGTGATCTGAAGCTCATGGTTTCAGCCAGGCTGGTTGGCCAATGAGCTTCAGGGATCCATGTATCTCTGCCTCAAGCCCACTGCTGGGTTACAGGAGCAGGCCACCATTCCTGGCAAGGCTCCAGCGATGGGACTCAGGTCCTCAAGCTTGCTCAGCTAAAAGTGTAGGGCCTGAGATATCTCCCAGACCTTGTACTTTCTGTGACTGGGAAACTGTTTTAAAATCTGCCTTCATCACAAAAATGATGTCTGTTCCTAGGAGAGACTGAAGAAATTTAATTTATAGTATTTCCTCAATGATAGTTTACAAATCAGAATTTTAAAGTGAGATTTCAACTTGGTATTTCATTTCTTCATATTTAAAAGACAGAAAAAGTTAGCTGGGCAGTGGTGGCATACACCTTCAATCCCAGCACTTGGGAAGCAGAGGCAGGTGGATCTCTGTGAGGACAGCCTAACCTACACAGTAAGTTTCAGGACAGGCTCCAAAGTTGCACAGAGAAACCCTATCTCAAAAACCAACCAACGAAACAAAGAAAATAACATATAGGAAGCTAAGGATAGAACAATTACAGGTAGAGTATCCCCTATCCAGATGCTTGTGACAATGGAGGTTTAGATTTTGGAATTGGTGTAGTATAATATCCTGGACATGTCTGAACATCAAATTCATGTAGTTTTTCTCTTATAAAGCAGTCTGAAGATAATTTCACATAGTATTTTCTGTGCAGCTGTCATGTTGGCTTACTCCTGTAATACCAGCACTAGGAAGCCAGAGGCAGGAGGATCATTCAAACTAACAAATTTGAAGCTAGTTTGGGGTACATAGTAAATTCCAGACTAGCCTGGACTATACAGTGAGACTGTGTCTTAAAATACCCACATGAATGCACATGCAAAACTATTTTTTTAAAAAAACTGCCTTGGTATAGTGTCATGTTCATGCTCAAAAGCCTTTTTAGACTTCTGTAGTTCTTCACGGTCAGACCTCTGGACTGGACGTTCCATCCGTTTGAGCTATCAGTGACACTGCCGTACACATACAGGAAAGTGAGTTCAAGGAACTCAACAAATCAGCTATTCCCGTGGTTCAAATAACCCTTTCACAGGAATCGCCCAAGACCATCAAAAACATACATATTTCTATTACAATTCATAATAGTAGCAAAATTACAGCTATGAAGTAGCAAAGAGGTACTTTATGGTTGGGGTCACCACAACATGAGGAACTGTATTACAAAGGTCGCAGCACTGGGAAGGTTGAGAACCGCTGGTCTGCATTAACAATAAACACAGCTGTTATTTCTGCTCTCCTTCAGCTGGCAAACTTTGTCATCAGTCTCCAGATCTGAAACCTCGGAGCTCGCTTCATTTCCTTTATTAGCACATCCTGTGTACCAGGGTGCTTTGCTAACCATATCTGACTCTTCTTTTTCCCTGATCTCTACAGCCCTACTAGGGGCCCTGTTCTGAATGTGGGTGTGTCCCACTTTCCCTTTGTCCCTTTCCAATGTCTGAAGCAGGGCCTCATTAATTTGCTTTAAAATATTAACTACTGGGGACTAGAGAGATAGCTCAGAGGTTAACGGCACTTGCTAGTCTTGCAGAAGATTTGGGTTCTGTTCCCAGGTCCCACATGGCAGCTGACAACCATGTATAACTCCACTTCTAGGGGATCTGATGCTCTTTTAGATCTTGAGGGCAGTGAACCGCTTTCATGCCTAGTGTCTGCAGAGGCCAGAAGAGGGTATCAAATCCCCCCAAACTAGAGTTAAAGGACTGTGAGCTGCCATGTGGGTACCAGCAAATGAACCCAGTCCTCTGGAAGAGCAGCCAGTACTTTTAACCACCGAGCCACCACCCCAGACATTTGACCTTGAAATGTGTATGGTTTCTTTGTTTCAAGTCTCAGCTTTCTGTTGCGCCACGAATCTCCATTTCCTTCTTATATCATATTTCTTAAAATACGTTGAGAATATAGTCTCCTAAATGTAAACCCACCCCGACTCTGTTTGCAATAGGTATTCTCAATTTTCTACCTAACATGTCTTTCCTCTACCCTGTTAATGCCAAGTCCAAGCTCAAAGGCTACTTCAAATCCTATCTGCTCCTTGGAGCATACATTCCTGCAAGTACTCCAGTTACACCATCTTTCTTCTGACTGTCTCTAACAGTTAGTACTACAAAGTATAGCCACTAATTGTTCCAGGACTATTGTGTATATGCTGGTTTTGTCTCCCTAAATAAGGTATCCCAAGAGGATCAAGAAAATGCTAGACACATAATTAATATTAAATGAAGGTAATTTTCCTATGGCCAAAACAGTTGTATTCCAAATTGTTGAGTCAGTTTATTAGAAGTGTGGCTGTTAAAAAGCCAATCCTCCTCACACATTTATCTCTATCCTGCCTACAATTTACTAGGTGGGAAAAGTTTTCTTATTAGCTGGCACCACTTCATCTACAGTAATCAAGCACTCTAGGAATCAAGTGGGGCTGCCACATCCCTCAACTCCTGGAGGAGCACCTACAGGTCAGAAGGGAAACAGTGCAGCCCTGCATCACAGTCAATATTTCCCGCCTGTTACAAACGGCATGTTTTACACACAATTAGCCACTTGGTGAGCCTTCTAACCAACCTGAGAAACGGGTATTGACTACAAAATCAGGTTTGGAGAAACAGCGCTAGATCACTAAGCATGCAATTGCCCACACTGCGCATCCCTAGCACAGCTGAATCTGCCTCCCTTTTCCTTTCCAAGGTTTAAGACCAATTTGCCTACAGACTTACCTTTCTCACTCTACCAAATCTAAATCTAATTTCAATCTAACTAGAGACATTAAGTTTTTCATGTATTTAAAAGCCCAAAGTGTTAACAGTCAAGATGGTCTTGAGATAAGCACCAAGTTTAATATGATGGCATAGTGAACAGATACAGAATTCTGCCATTCATTGTAGGTTAAAAACCACTAGCAAGCAAGCAGAAGCAAAAATGGCAAAATGGAATTTTTTTTTCTTTTCTTTTTTTTTTTTTTTGCTTTCCAAGAAAACCCATGGAAGATCACCTTTTAAATTAAAATATCAGTAAGTATAAACCAATGTGTTATTTATGATGTTGGGTTACCTGAAGTGTGCCTCCCCTGATTCAGTGGCATTCTTTGGAAGAGATCATGGTTGCAGTCATAGTATCTGTAGTCTTCCGGGGCACGCTCTCCAAGTGGCCGCCTTCTCTGACTATCAAAAAAGCTATCTGAGTAAAAGTATCGGGAACCAGAGTCTCCATTTTCAACAGCAAGATTAACTTCTGTTAAAAACGACTGTGATGAGCCGTACTCTCGTGGAACATCTGCCAGGCTCCTGACAAGGTACGAGGAAGGGGCAGACAGTCTGTTGCTTTCTCTCCTCAGTACTTCGTGGGGTGTCCTTTGAATTGGAGTTCTCAGAAAACTCTGGTTTCTTGAAACTACTCCATCTCCAGAAGCTGAGAAAGCATTAGAGCTTGAATCTGGAAGACAGATGTCAGTCCGTCTTGGGATTGTTGGACCATGCCGAATGAACGAAGGCATGAGATCTGCAATCAAAGAATAAATCACCATTTCAGTAAATAGTACTCTTCTAAAGTTATTTGTTTATATCAAAATAACAAGGTCTTCAGAAAACAAATTTAAATTTTAAGCCAATATGTGTACTATTTTCCCAAGCAAATAAATTTATAATCTGCATTAACGTGCTGCGTGTGAGCTCAGCTACAACTGAGCTGATGTTGTATATTGCCATCATAATATGATACAATGTCAGTAAGACTGAAAATAATCTAACAAACCAATGCAGTCACCAGCATCACAGTTTGGTTTTCATCTGATTTTAGTATGGCCAAGAATCTTTCTTCATGCAAACAAAGTTTCATTACAATAAAAAATGCTCCTCCAAAACAAGGCAGATTTCTTTTAAAAGATTTTTAAATTAATAGTTTTGTCTTTCTATTCTCAGAATTACCCAGTTCTAGGTACAATTATCGAAACCAGAAAGCAAAATCATTCAGTGTGGAAACTGAAAAATAAAATCAAGTTCCAAAGATGCACATAAATGTTCAATCTACTGAAAAACAATAAGCCTGGAATATAGCTCCTTTCAGAACAGAGAACTCAAAACAAGATAATGGGTTGCTGAAAACAGAATTAGCAATTGAACATCTTAGATTTCCTTAGATAGAAAGCAAATGCCTTTACAACAGAAGGAAATCTGGATATGGAGCACATATTCTGAATTCATTAAGTAGACGATACTGGAAGGTGCCAGAAGTTAACACTAGACTATCCTAACATTGGAATAATTAACAGTCAATGACAGAAACTGTATCAAGTATTCACTGAAAGATTCAAAAACTCAACATGTTGCATGATTTCAAGAAATGTTTAATAAACTTTATTTGCAGCAAAAAGCAAGCTAAAAAGAAAGACAAGCGATTACAAATAAAGGTTCAAGTTACTGGACATACCCACCCGACCAACTTGGTCGTCCAGCACTACAATTAGTAACATAACCTGGAAGGCTCCACACGTGGTCACAATGAAAAAATAATGCTGTCCACCCCTTTCTCCGTGATCTTGGGCAAATGCTATGAACTTCTGTGAAGAGCTTTCCCAATTACAATATGAGGTAATGCTTAATTTAAGTCACACGGTCACTACCAGCTTCCAAGAAGGAAATGTACGTTACTAACACAAGGGGCCCAGCTCCTAGGATGAGAACCAAAGGATAAGCTCCTTCTCTTCTAACTTCCGAATCCACACAAGTCTTAAAAAGAAAACCAAGACGTTCAAGTTGAAAAATTCAGAGTCAACTACTTGGAAACGGAGAAAAGCTAGAGGAGGAGACGGAACATACCCTAGAGAGAGGAGGGAAGAAAGTTAGTAACCTGCCTGCTACGGCAGAAATTATTCTGAGTACTTTGCTTTTGGGGAATTTTAGGAGCAAAACCTACTCCGAATACTTCAGTGGCGAGGCGGCTCTGGACAGCCGCTACAAGTCTGCGTCCCGCCGAAGGGCAAAGGAGACCAGCCTAGAGTTTGGGCTACTGGGGGCGCGGACGACTGTCGCCACGGTGGTCGCAGACCCCGGGCACGCCCCGACGTACCCAGCGGACAAGCGCCCGGGCCGGAGCACTTTTTTTCCTCCAACAGCAGGCACCGCCGTGCATTCCCAATCTTCCAGCACCACCCGGGGCTTCTCCGGGTCCCCCGCCCGTCACCGCCCCGCGACACTCACTCCGCAGCAGGGGCGACGTCTCCTTCTTCACGTACTTGCCCTGCACCTCGGCCGGCTTGGACACCTCGTTTTTGGTTTTCTTGCGGGACAGCATCCTCGCCGACGACGCCCGTCCCGCCGCCGCCGCTGCCCCAGCAGCCTCGCTAGGGCCGCGCGCTCGCCGCCCGCCGCCGCCTCCCGGGCCGGCGCCGCCTCCGCCTCGGCTCTCCGCCGCCTGCGCCCGCCTGCAAGCTCCGCCGCATGTTGGCGGCGCTCAGGGCGCCCGCCGCCGCTCACTCGCAGGGCAGCTCCTCCCGGGAAGTCAACCGGCTCCGCGACCCCGACGAAGGCCGCCCGGCAGGGCCATGGTCCGGCCGCCTCCGCCGGGAGCCGCTACCGCTGCAGCCGCCGCCTACGTCCGGTAAACTTTCCCCGCGCCGCTGGGAATGCCGGGAAAGCCGACGCCGCGCCAGCCGCCCCTCCCCGCCGGGCGCGGGCGCGGGCGCGGCTGCGTGCGGGGACTCGCGGCGGGCGGCTAACGGGCTGGGGCTGGCGGCCACGGCGGCCTCAGCACGGCTGCGCGGGGCGGCTCCAGCCGCTCCGGAGCCGCGATCGCCCTGACCTGACCGCTCCCCGCGTCCTGGGCGCCGAGGGAAGGCGGCCCTCGAGTGTCCCGGGCTGACGGCGACGCGGGACTCACGACTGCCAGGGCCTCACCTAGCAACACGGGTGCCCCTTCTGGTGACAGCGTGACGACTATGTAAACTGAGTCACTATGTTCCACCCCCCCCTTCCCTATTTCCCCTGCCCGGTTTTCGGATTAAAAAGACAAAACAAACGAGAAGATGGAGCTTCTACAACTCCTAAGATAAATTTGACGTCAGTATATAGTTATCTCATCATTTTAATAGTATACTTAATAACCACGTGTTTTCTCTTGCAGTTCAGTCCTGAGGCCTTTTGAGCACCAGCGTTCAGAACTGGGAGTTTTCTAATACAGCAGATTCTACTTTTATTATCTCTAACGCAGTCAGGTACACAGAATAACCTTTAGAAAATAAGATGGAACTCATTCTCCTTGACCGAAGTAAGGCCTTAATAATAAAGAGAATGTTTTCCCTGGTGGTTAAAACACAGAAACAAAGTATTAATCTCATAACAAAAACATGTGGTTTCCTTATATACGACACCAAAACTGGTCAGATTTTATTTAGCCACACACAAAGACAGACACTAGTCTGTCTCCGTGTTTTCATGAAATGTTTTTATTACAGGTCCCTTCAATTCTATACCAAATACTTATTGGGTACCCATCTTGTAAGTGCTAATGTTTTAGGTGTCTGATGTGACAATAAAAGTCCCTGCTGTTACGGGGAAGAGAGATGACAGAATACGACTTGTAGAACATAGTGGGTTGGATCGCGAGTGCTGAGGTAAGCATAAACAAGTGAGATCTCACAGTTTTGGAAAACGTGACAGAGTAACGCAGCTCATGAGAAGCTGATGTTGGAATTAACGTGCCATGCAGCTATCTGGAGTGAGACTTCCTGGGAGAACAGCAAGTGCAGGGTTTTGCACGTAGTCATGTTTTTGGCCGATGGTAGGAACAGAAAGAGGGCCCATGTAGCTGGGACAGAGAAGAGCAGAGGGAAGTGAAGTCCCACAGCAAGCGGCCCCGCCCCTAGGCCTTTGGAGTAGAGGAGTGACGAGTTTAATGTGTTAGTGCAATCGTCTGGATGCCGTGTCGAGTAGACAGAATGACAAGGAGGAGAATCAAAACTATTGCTAGCGGGCATCTGGATAAAGCAGCAGGGGAGCAGTAACCATATCTTGTCTAGAATACATCTTCGAGACCAAACAGGCCTTCCCGACGCGTTGATTATGGAATTAGGGAATAAAGGGTTTCTCCTGTGTAGACCTTAGTTGAGCCAAGTGGAGTTGAGTCGAGCAGAAGGAAGGAACGTAGCTGGGTGTTCGTGTGGGTCAGGTAAGTGCCAGAACTGAAGTGTTGGTAGTGTGTGAGTAGAGGAGGGACCACGATGAGCCATAATCGGCAGAGGGTTTAGTTACCCGAAGGACTGGAGGATGGGAGGCAAAGGAGAAAAGGGTTGCCATAGAATTCCCAAGGCTGACCTCAGAGGAGAGTAAAACTGTGTTGTTGGGATCTTGTTAATAAAGAGAGTTCTTTATACCCCGGGCTTTCCAGAGAATGGAATAAAGGATGCTTTCTCCATTCGTGAAGGGAGGAATTGTAGGGTTTTGTAGCTGGATGGGAATTTTGAAATCAGCTATGCTAATCTCATGAAAAAATAATGTGTGATGTCTTCCATCTCCTTCCTGTTTGGCAGCAGAGTTTGGTTGGTCACTCCCCCCCCCACCCCCGTACTGTGACCAAATGCCTGCCAGAAACAATGTAAAGGAGGCTGATTGGAGCTTATGGTCTTAAAAGGTTTAGACCATGGTTAGTTGGCTTCGTATTTCTGGGCCAGTTAGGGACATCCTTACTCATTGCATGACCAGAAGCAGAGAAACTGGAAGGTATACTTACATACTTAAGACAACTTACTTCCATGAGTCTGCGCCACTATGGCCTACTTCTTTAAGCTTGGTGAGTGCTGAGTTTCTAGACCCTTCCAAAATTGCTCCACTACCTGGAGACAAAGCCTAAAGCCAGGTGCAGCGAGCAAACCTGTAAGCAATCTCAATACTTAAGGGGTTGGCACGAGGATCAAGGTTTCAAAGTCAGCCTCTGAAGCACAGAGCCAGGTCAGCTAAGGAGAGCCTAGCTCAGCAGATGAAAACAAAGCAACAGAGCAGTGAGCCTGTGGAGAGCATTTCCTGTTTAACCATAGCAAACAAGTATCAGAACTGGAGTTTTGTATCCCCATCTTGGGCCATTTTCCTGCTATAGTACATTGAAAACCCCACCAACCTGAGTCCAGACGGTTCCTTACACAGTTGTTTTGAAGCCATCGCATTCCCTACAAAGCATTCTCTTTTCCAGAGCCATTCAATTCTTTGAATTACGGCAGAGAAAAGGGCCTCAATTAAGCGATTTTTGAGACTGTAATTTGTTTTGTTTTGTTTTTTTACCAAGGAGGGTGCATTCCAGAATCATCAGTCTATACGCTGCAGTAGCAGTGCATAGTAAATAGATGAGCTTTGAACTCACATCGGTGTTAGAAAAATACCAGGATCCCTGGGAATGCTGTCGAGGCAACTAGGACTGGTAGTTCCAGTTCCTCAGATATAGCTGCCGATAATGCTAGTACTGTGTTCCCTAACAGAGGCATTAGCTGCCCATAACGCTAGTACTGTGTTCCCTAACAGAGGCATTAGCTGCCCATAACGCTAGTACTGTGTTCCCTAACAGAGGCATTTTCCCATTGGAACTGTAGAAAAAATGGCAGCTGGGGAACTATATCTTATTAGTAGCCATTTGGTTTAGGACTAAAATTTTAGATTAGAAAATGAAACAATTTAACAATTTGATTTGTAAAAGTTTGTAATGTTTTTAGCTTAACACTTTGGGCCACATATGAAAAGGCAAAAACATATTATCTATAGGATAATAGGTATATAGATTGGTCTTTTACAAAGTTTTTACAAAGTTTTTCATAAAGATTCACTAAAGTGTTAAATGTGATTGTTCTAGAAAATCAAACTTACAACTTGTTGCTCTCCAGAGCTCAAGTTCTTTGTGCTATTTGTATTTCCTTTTACAAGAGCCAAATAAAAATTAAATGGGTGAGAAGAAAGATAGCTCCGTGATAAAGAGCATTTGTTGCTCTGAAGCGGTCCTAGGATCACTTCCCAGGGAACTACAGTTCAAAGAGATTGGATGCTCTCTTCTGTCCTTCCTGGACACTAAACACAGGTGGTGCAGACGCATGCAGGGGAAACACCCGTATACATAATAAATACAGAATACAACTGTTAAAAAACATACAAGCAACAAAATAACTCAGGTGTGTACATCTCAATGCAGTAACATAAGAAACATAAAAAAGCAACATAACTGTTCCAGAAATGATTAGTTCCACACTAATGGTCTCCAGTGAAAGTAGATGAAAATCTCAGACCATGAGCTTCTTTAGGCAGCCAGCAGGCAAGCTTCCTGCAGGTAAGCTGCTCGCCTCCTCTACCCCCCATCAATTGGACCCTGTAAGCTACAAGTCCCACTCTGCTCCCAAACCCACCCATCCCCTGCGACCTCAGAGGATCTCTGGTGCACAGACTGTGATTGGACAGAGGAGAGCAAGAGGTGAGTGAACAACTCCCCAGCTGGATAGTCCAATCTCTAGGCCCCAGAAAACCTGGGGAAAAACCTCGGGTCCCTCCCCACACCTGCCTCAGCTTCACTAGCCAGCCAGCAAGTTAGCCACCTTCAGGCAGCCTGCTCCTGCCCCCCCCCCCCCATTGATCAGATTGATCAGACCCTGTAATCTACAATCCCCACTCTGCCCCCAAACTCACCTATTCCCAGAGATCTCAGCAGCTTCCGGAGACACAGACAGTGACTGCATAGAGCAGACCAAGAGCAGCTCCCTAAGACACAGACACTGACTGCAAGGATTGGACCAAGAGGCAAAGACAAGACACTGCCTGCACCATTTGGAGGAAGAGATGGGTAGGTTCCAATTCAGGAATACATTCAACAGCCTAAAAAGCAACATGACAACACCAGAACCCAGTGGTCATACAACAGGAAGGCCTGAGCATTTTAACCCAGAAGAAGTAGAAGAAAATGGTCTTAAATATAACTTTATGAAGATGGCAGAGACCCTTAAAGAGTAAATTAAAAATTCCCTTTAAAAGATGGAAGAACAGACAAAAAAATGAAAACAATAAATCTCTTAAACTCAAGAAAAACAGATAAAGCAAACAGTTCAAACAGTTCAAGACTTGAAAACTGAAATAGAACCAATAAAGAAAACACAAGCCAAAGGAATTCTGAAAATAGAAAATCTTGGTAAATGAACAGGAACTACATATGCAATCATAACAGAATACAAAAGATAGAAGTGAGAATCTCCCAAGCATTGAAGAAACAATAGAAGAAATAGAGTCCTTGGTCAAAGAAAATGCTAAATCTAACAAATTCTTAACACAATAACACCCAGGAAATCTTTTCATGGGACACCATGAAAAGATCAAATCTAAGAATATTAGGGATAGAAGGAGAAGAACTCCAGCTCAAAGGCACAGAAAATATATTCAACAAAATCATAGAAGAAAACTTTCCCAACCTATAGAAGG